CCTCCTAATCAGTCCCTCTGGGGGGGAGCATCACAATATTAAAAAAAAAAAAATCATAGTTTTCCACACATACACAGTCCTCTTGAAAGTCTCCAATGAAGGAGACTCCCCAACTTCCCTGGGCAGTCTATTCCACTGCCTCACTGCTTTAACTGAAGGAAAGTGGTTTCCTGACATCTAATCTAAATCTACCTCCCTGGAATTTGAAGCCATTGCTTTACAGCCCTACCTTCTGCATCAAGGGAGAGCAGCTTTCCCTATTCTTTATGGCAGCCATGCAAATATTTGAAGACTGATATCATGTTCCTTTAATCTCCGTTCTTCCAAGCTAAACGTGGCCAGTTCTCTCAACCAGTCCTGCAACAATCTTCCTTCCCACCTTTTGTTTGGGCCCCCCATCCCTGGGCCCTTCTCCAGCTTCTCCACCACCTTCTTACAATGCAGAGCCCAGAACTGGATGCAATACTCCAGATGAGGCTTAACTAGAGCCGAGTCAAGTAGCGCTGTCACTTTCCATCTTTTATACCCAATACTTCTGCCGATACAGTCCAAGAGCATGAGCAGCAGTGTTTTCAGCTGCTGCCCGTCAGCACAGACCCTTGTGGGAGGCCCAGCGTCACACTAAGAGCTGAGGACCTTGGGACATGAGATCATTGTTGTTATCTGCCATGATGATTAATGCCCCAGGAGGCTCCAAGGCTCCAGTCAGATTTTTGGAGTCTCTCGAGCTGAGCTTAGTGACTTCACATGTGCTTTGCCCATGAGAGGGATCCAATGCTTTCTGCTCAGGCTGGTAACGCCTGAAGGGACAGCCTTAAGCTGCTGAGTTTGGGCACCTCCCATTCTTGCCCCCACCGCCTTAGGATCTGGCCCCTGATTGCTTCTGATTCAAGGGTCCTTTATTAGAGTCACATTTCTACAATCACAATATCAAAATTGCAACACAGACTGTCATGCAGTTGCTTCTAGTAATATATCTGCTGTATCAATGTGGGCTAGGACAAACTGAGTCAAGGTAGCAGCATATGTACAAGTGCATATGCACACCACTTCCATGGAATCAAAGCTACTTTCCTGTGTCTCAAAGGCCTAATACAGCTCACAACTGAGGGGGAGTCTCTTTTCACGCATCAGCAACAGGCCAATACAAGCTTGCCAGTGGCCAGAGCTGGCATTCCAGCAATGACCTCAGAGTTATGCAGCCATAGATTAGGTGTTACTCTCTGGTAAGTAGCTCCTCCACCAGCTCTGGCATCTCTGAGGGCATAGATACTGCTATGCAAGTGGTTCCATACCTGTCACCAAATACAGGATGTTGTACATTTGGCCATCTGCTCCCTGGACCTCATGCACCCCAATTTTCTCGTAGTGGTACTTGTTGTGGAATAAGGGTGCCTTCTTCTGGTTGATGGGTTGTACTTTGTCCTCCACCTCAGGGTGACCGTCGGCTATTCTGAAGGTCTCGGAAGGAGTTCTTTCTGAAGAACACTAAGCCAAGAAGAAAATGTGCTGTCAAGACCATCCAGACTTACAGGGTGAGGTCAGAAATAAAGACATGGGAACCTGAACAACACAGGGCTGGACACAGGGGGTTAATTTGGGACCTATGCACTATTATGGCAGCACACGAGGGCCATAAAAATCCCCTCAGCTATTGGGGGAGAAACCCCTCCAACACAGGTAAGGCAGCTTTAGGATGCTCAGCATCATATGCATGGGATGGGGGAGAACAAAAGCTAGAGAGGGGGTAGAGCATAATGCTGGCTATTCCAGGCAGAACCACAGCCCAGTCAGGTTGGATGGATCCCATAATTAAGGGATGTCTGATCGGTCATACCTGCCTCCCCACCTGGGCTGCCAGGCATGCATTTTGGTCCCAATGGGGGGAAATCCTGAATCATACTCCAGGCACCTGTCACTGGCCCCAGATTTCATCAGAAGGGCATTAACTGACTGGTAAAAGCTCTATGGAAAACATGGGGCCCAGGAGGGTTGCTGCCAGGTACAAACAACCCCCTCATGGCTACAGACACCCAAGGGGAAATGTCCTTCCTGACCCCTGTTTGTGTATATGCCAGTGCCCTTGAGGCCCTGATCACATAGTGACCATATTCACTGCTGCATAAAATGCCATACCTTCCCCATGCACTGCCCTGAATGAGGTGGGAACACTGGTTCTCAGCCATCAGCCCCTTTATTTTGCATCCTTTGCTCATTGGGCTCACTAGATTATAGCAAAGCTTCTTTGTTACCCCATCTCCCAAACAGACACAATGAAAGCCATAGAGATGTGTTTTCTCTCCCCTTCCTTGCCTCAAAAGCCCCTAGAGCACTGACATCAATGGATCAGCCTCCCTAGGATAACACATCTCCCTTGTCTAGCCTGC